CCCGGGGCCCAAGAGCTGGTCTGAGCGAGGCTAGCTGGGGACATGTCCACAGGCAGAGGCAAGGACACACAGCAGGAAGAGAGGAGGAGCAGGGCCCCCCCCCCCCCCCCCCGGCGCGGGGGGCCCGCGAGACATCGTCGGGAGGGAGAGGGGCCCGGTGGGATGCACCTGCGGTGGGCGTGGCGGGGGCCGCGGCCCACCCAGCTTACCTGAGGACCACCTGCACGGCCTTGATCCCGGGCTGCAGCTCTCTGTGCGCCGAGGGGGTCAGAGGGGAGGAGAGGGGTCAGCGAGTCAGGAGGGCACTGAGCACGCCACACGGGCTAACCTGCCACCTCCCCCGGTGACGAAGTCCGTGGGTGCTGACTGAAGCCTCCTCTCCTGACTACTCACTGCTGCCTGGGACAAAGGACCCCCCTCTCTGGACAATTCGGGGGCTGTCCACGTGGATATTAAATGGGTTGGTGGGTACGGGCCCGGCACGGGCCACGTGGCCAACAAGTGGCTGCTCCAGCGGTGACTTCTGTCTCAGCTGCAGACGGAAAGGCCTCAGATAGCAGAGACCGGGGACGGCCTTCGTCCCTCATCTGTCCTCGCTCAGGGGCCCCTGCATGACCCCGGGCAGTGTCTGGGGGGACATGTGTGTTCATCACAACTAGGGAGGCTCCCGCCATCAAGTGGGACGGGAGCCGGGGATGCTGCTGAGGTCCCCCCCCGCCCCCCACCCAGGGCACAGGGCACCCCTCTCCCGAGCCAGCGGCGCTGAGGGGAGCCGTGCTGGAGGGGACACTGGCCCCGTCCGGGGCCGCGGGTCAAAGGCAGGGAGGGCACGCAGACTAAGCACGCTGTCCAGGACGGGGGGCGGGGGCCACTGCACACACGGTGGGGGTGGGACGGGGCGTCGGGCCTCCGTGGGGTCTGCCGAAGGCCCCCCCCGCCCGGCAAGGCCAGCTCGCCCCAGACCACGCCAGCCCACCGCCCGCCGAGGAGGTCAGCAGGGGTGCGGGGCACAGCACACCTGGAGTTCCGGATCAGCTCCACTTGCCTTGGCGTCAGCGCAAAGATGCACGGGCTCTCCTGAAGCTTCTCATTATTCTGTGGGACTGAAAACAAACGGAGGGTCAGGGGGACGTCCGGTCCCCGACGAGGGAGCCAACCGTACCCCCGTCCGCGGGGAGCGAGAGGCTGAGCCCCACCTGGGCAGCCAGGCACGTGGGGTGGAAGCAGGGCCACCAGGGACGAGGTGCAGGGGGAGCCCAGCCCTTCCTGGTGCCACCCCGCAGCCTATGATTCAGGGAACGCCTCCCCCCACCTCCCCATTACGGGCCCCTTGAGAAGGAGCAGCCTTCTTAGCCCTCCAGGTTCAGGCGTCACTGAGAAGCGCTGGGCTCACGGAGAGGAGCCTGCCGGGCTGGCAGGATGCCGTGGGGCAGACTGCGTGCCCTTGAGCCAGCCGCTTCACCTGGAGCCTGCCTTCTCTGGGTCTGTACCACGCCAGCATCAACTGTGTCCCCACCCCGCACGGCTGTTCTGGACACCCGGAAAGTGCGTGCCTGTCTGCGCGGCACTCGGCTTAGGCCCTGCAAGGCACTGCTGGAGGGGACAGGGACAAGCTGGGGACAGGTTCTGCCTTGGGCATTCACGGCCGGCAGAGGAGGCAGGGAAGCGAAACCACCCTGAGCCTCTAAGTGCACAAGAGTCACGGAGCAGCCCAGCTCACAGCATGGACCCCACACACGGAGGCACACTAGTCATTACAAAGTGCCTGCTGGGTGCACAAGTGGGGGAATGTCTGCCAGGGGATGGAGACCAGGGTGGTGACTAGCTGGCTCTGCACTCTCAATTACATCTGCATCGAGAACCCCAGGGGTGATCAGAAAGTGCTCCGAACTGAAAGAGAATATACAGCGCTCCAAAACTTGGGAGGAGCAGCTAACACAGTCGTTAGAGGCAAACTTATAGCTTTAAATGCTTCTATTAAAAGACAGAAAAAGGTTTCAAATAAGTTACTTGCACTTCCTCTACGAGAAACTAGAAAAAGAACAGAAAATTAAAGCCAAAGTCACCAGATGGAAAGAAATTAAAGATAAAAATAGCAAGGGAGAAAATCATTCAAGCGAGAGTTCTTTGATAAACTAGCTAGAGCGAACAGAAGATCACAAGAACCCAGGCTGTCAGAACGAAAGACAGACAACAGTACAGATCCCACAGCCTTCTAGTTTAACACGGGAATGAAGTGGACGACTTTACGCCAATAAATCTGATAACTTAGATGAAATAGACACATTCTTCCAAAGGCGCAAATTACCAAACTGGCGCCAAAACACGCACGAAGTTTGAAAAGCCCTTGATCAGTTAGGGAAGCTGAACTCATCATTGAAAAGTCTTCCACACACGAAAACCAGATCCAACTGGGGAGTTCCCTCAAGTATTTAAGAAGCGATATAGGGGCGCCTGGGGGGCTCAGTCGGTCAAGCGTCTGGCTCTTGGTTTCAGCTCGGGTCATGAACTCACAATCTGTGGTTTGGAGCCTTGCGTCGGGGTTTGCCCAGTGCGGAGCCTGCTTGGGATTCTCTCTCTCTCTCTGCCCCTCCCTCCCTCCCTCAGTCTCTGTCTCATAATACGTAAATAAGAACCTTAGAAAAAATAAAAAGAAATGATACAGATTCCATACAAATTTTCAAAAAGTAAAGAGGACGCTTCACTCACTCTACAATCCCGGCACGAGCCCGATACCAAACCTGACAAAAAGGCATCAAGGAAGGAACAGTGAGGGAGCGCCTGGGGGGCTCAGTCGGTCCAGCACCGGATTCTTGATTTCGGCACACATCATCACCCTGAGATTGAGCCCCACATCGCACGCTCTGGGCTGTTGGTGCTCAGCCTGCCCTGCTTGGGGTTCGCTCTCCCTCTCTGCCCCCCTCCCCCAATCCCACATGTGCACACACACTCTCTGTCTCAAAACAGATACACATTAAAAAAAAAAAAAAAAAAAGGAATACTGTCAATATCCCTCGCAAACACAGACGCAAAAATTCTTCAGAAAATATCGGCAAACGTGCAGGCCCTTGGGATCTGGCCCAGGTTTGAAACCTTCACACGCCCACCGGCATGGCTAAAACGCAGTGACAACTTCCGGTGCTGGGGGGGGGGGGGGGTGGCGGTACGGAGCAAGTCTCTGCTGCGGGCACAACCCCTCCTCTGGAACGGCCGGGCAGCTTCTAGCAAAGTTAAACGCACAGCTACCCAATCGCTCAGCAACCTCGTATCTGCCCCCATATAAAAGGAAATAGGTCCCCAGGAAGACTGTACAAGAACGCTCACAGCAAACGTATTTCTAGGAGCCCTAAACTGGAAACAACCCGAGTGGCGGCCGGTGCAGAAACAGACGAACCCTAAAACCGATGCCCCGCACGGCCACGCGGGCAAATCTAACCGCCAAGGTGCTGACCCACAGCAGGCAGACGCCGAGAAGTACCTGACGCACGTGCCCTGGCCCGCGTCCAGGAACAGGCGGAACTCGCCCGCAGTGACAGGAATCGGGACGACGGGGGGTGCTTCTAGGGGTGCGGGCCGAGACGGGGGACGTCCGAAGGGGTGGGGGGCTTTACGTGGCGGAAATGTTGTGGATCTACAGCGTTTGGGTTCCCGGGGTGAGACTCAAACTACACACTGAGGATCTGAGGACTTTGTCGTATGTAAATTACACCTCAGCTTTTAAACATTTAAAGCTTCACTGGAAAGGGGCGCCTGGCAGGCTCCATCGGTGGAGCAGGTGACTCCTGATCTCCGGGTTGTGAGTTCGAGCCCCACGCTGGGCACAGAGATTACTTTCACTCCAGGACAGCTGACGAGGGAATGCCAGGCGACCCTGAAACAGGAAAGCATCCAGAAGCTCTTCAAGCTCCGATAAGGGGTGGACCCCGAGATGCTTCTGTTGGCCGAAAGCAGCAGGTGCAGACAGGTGTCTATCGCACCAGATCCGCGTCACCGGGCAGAGGGAGAGATGTGTGCAAAGGACATCTCTGGATGGGGGGGCTCTGTGAGAACTGGCCACAATCACCGCCTCAGAGTGACTGGGAGGAAGAAGGAGTCGGCTTTCCTTTTTTTTCTTCTCTAAGTTTATTCATTTGGAGGGAGGGAGACAGAAGGAGTGCACAAGCAGACGAGGGGCAGAGAGAGCAGGAGGGAGAGAACCCCAAGCAGGCTCTGCTCTGTCAGCACAGAGCTCGACGCGGGGCTCGAACTCACAAACCATGAGGTCGTGACTTCAGCAGAGATCAAGAGTCCGATGCTCAGCTGACCGAGCCACCCAGGCGCCCCAAGGAGTCAGCTTTCTTCCTACTGCCCGAGCCCTTCCAACACTGGTGGGCAGACTGTTCTCGTAAAGGGCTGGAACGTTAAGTATTTTTGGTTTCTGTGGGCCACATGCCCTGTGCCTCAACGTCCCCACTCTGCCTTGTACCACAAAAGCCACCAGAGATGGTAAACAGACAAATGGGCGTTGGCTACGGGTCAACAAAGCTTGGTTTTCGAGAACAGTCAATGAAGCCGGCCCCTGGGCCCGAGGTGGCCGAGCCCTGCTCCCAAACCTTCTGAATCCCAAACCACAAGAGTAGGTAACCTACTTAAAAGCAAACGCAATTGAAATATAAAAACCAGCTCGGCTCCGAAGCCAGACCACGTGGGCTCGTACCCCAGCTCTGCCAGGGTGCGCACCGCTCTCCCCGCCCGAGCCTGGGGGCTTCTCCGGGCACGGGGCCGGGCGTGTGGCCGGAGCTCGGCAAGAGGTGGCTGCTCTAACTGCCAAACCACTGCCAACCCATGCTCGCGTGTTGAGGGCCTGGCCGGTCCCCGCGGAGTCCTGCTTAGGGCCCTGGGGGAGGGCCACCCGATTGGGGGGTGGGGGAGCACACAGGCCACCTGCAGACATGCCCAGACCTGCCCAAAGAGCCAAGGGGCAATTATTTCTTGGGGGCGGGGCTCCCCATACCTAAGACGGCTGCGAAGGCTGAGGGGAGCCGAGTACCACCCTCGACCCGGAGAGGAGAGCTGCCACCTGGGTTGGGGCACAGCATACCCGGCACGGTGGGAGGGGGCTGGGGGTCCCCCAAACCCAGACCTGTCATCCACTGAAGTGGTGGCTCCGCCCCTCCAGCAGCTCCGAGCAGAGACACAGGCATCATCCACAACTCGTGGCACTCCTACCCCCCCCCCCATCAACTCCCAAGTGGCTCCGATTTCGAAACGCACCAGCGAGGTCCCTGTCCCACACAGACCCCTCACTGCCCACCCCCACCCCAGCAGGTCACCGTCTGCCACTTGGGGGATGCCATCCCCACCCCTAGTGGCCTCGATTCCACAGCAGCCGTCTCGGCCACCTCCTCCTGTTGCCAGTGTGTCAAGAACATCCTGCCTCAGGGCCTTTGCACTTGACATCCCCTCTTCCAGAACATTCCTTCCCCAGTGATTTAGATGGCCCTGATGCCTCTGAAATCTGCTCAAATGCCACCAGAATGACAGATGTCCCTGAACACCTTCATTTAAAAACTGCTATCCTCCCAAGGGCACCTGGGTGGCTCAGTCGGTTAAGCACCTGACTGTGGCTCAGATCGTGATCTCAGGGTTTGTGAGTTCGAGCCCTGCGTCAGGCTCTGTGCTGACAGCTCGGAGCCTGGAGCCTGCTTTGGATTCTCTGTCTCCTTTTTTCTCTCTCTGCCCTTCCCCCACTCACGCTCTGTCTCTCCTTCTCCCTCAGAAATAAACAAACATTGTAACTGCCACCCCCCAGGGGTACCTGGGGGCTCAGTCAGTTAGGTGTCTGACTCTCGGTTTCAGCTCAGGTCATGATCTCACGGTTCGTGGGATGGAGCTCTGCATGAGGCTCTGTGCTGACAGCTCTCTGCCCTTTCCCACTCACATGTGCTCTCGCTCAAAATAAACTTTAAGAAACAAAAAACCCCAAAACACTACAACTCCCCAACAACCTCCTGCAATTCTGGTCTCCCCATCTCCTTCCCCGCTCGATTTTTCTCCAAGACTTTTACCTCCTAAGAGTCAACATAGTCTCCCGGTGTCTTTGAACAAACCCAGAAGTACGTCT